ATAAACATGTACTCAAAAGAGAAGAATTAATACTCAAATAATGTGTAATGTTAAAGCTTAGAGTACACACAATAATCAATAGTTGAAGTAGCTTCAAGAATACAAATAACAATAAGAGAAAATAGTACAGAATGTGAAGAATGACACATGGAAAAACATGATTTAGTTATAAAAAAGAGAAGACAAAACCAGAAAAGATTGATACTGATGAGAGAGAAGAAAGATTGATCCCATCATTAGCCCAGTAAAAAGGACATGCATTTGCTTACCACTAACGTTCAGAGATAATTTCTCACAGAACTAACAAAAAAGATTCATGAAAGAGAGATTCATGTATTTATGTACACCTCATTTTTTGTATCAGATCAAATAATTTATATTAAAGGTCATAAATTACAATTAAAATGCATATAATTTTAATGATATGATTTTTATGTTAAAACACTTGTTTTTATATTTTATTAATTTGATATAAATATTGAATGCCATAGATCTTTTTCAGTTGAGTGAAAAAGCTGATGATTCACAAACAGCATGCAGAAGTGAAAAAAGGCGCCAAAATTTATTCCGGGGAACTGTGGTAAATTGGTAATACATCCCCAAGTCATGCCCAATTTTTAACTTCTTCCATGCCTGTATGGCTGTATTATTTAATATTCTATAAACAAAATTAGAGCAGTAATTAAGATGAGTAAATTTCAAAGATTTCTTCCAAATTTGCAATTTTGAGATTTGAAATTTTACACTATCTTTCCTTATCTGTCTTATGCATTGATAATTATTACTTATAAAAATAAATTGTTGAGGTGTAACACACTTTTTATTTTTTAAGAAAGATCTTTAGATATATTAATTAAAAGCTAATTTATTAATATTCTCCTTTTGATTCTTCTCAGCCTCTTCTTAAAAAGGAGAGATGGTCATTATTTAGGATTTAAAAGTAGTTGGAAATCACATTAAGGAGAAGGGTAATTTTAGAAGAAAAAAAATTAAAAGTTCTTGAACTTTGAAAAATTCATATATTTTGGACAATAAAAAAGTATCAACAATTCATTTAGGGTCTGTTTGGAAAGCCACTTGGTAATTGGAATTGGTGTAATTATTATGATAGCAATTACCAGCTTAGTAATTACACAGTCTAGTAATTACACTGATCTGTTTGGTTGGCTCAGTGTAATTACACATGTCATGTTTGAATGTCATAGTGTAATTACACATATTCTGTTTAGATGCACAATTGCAATCATAAAATTATAAAAAAATTTAAAATAAAAATAATTATTTAAAATTTATACTAGACAAATAAAAAACTTTATAAATGATATTAAATTAAATATGTAATATATATATATATATATATATATATATATATATATATTATTTTTTGACAATATATTAATTAATAAACATAGGCTCTTAACTAATATTATTAAAAACAATTGATTTATATTTTTTCAAATTAATATATTTCAATTGAATTGATCATAAAAACTAAAAGTATGAAGTATCTACGAACATTGTGAAATGCATGTTTGATAAAAAGATTAATATATAAATAAAATATCATAAATTATTCAAATGTTTGACAAAAAGATAATCTATCAAGTCTAATTGAAAAATGACTTGCAATGTGAATTCAATATTACTAAAACAAATGAAACTGAAAATATAACATAAGTTATAAATTCAAAACAATAAATTTAACATAATACTCTTATCGCAAATTTCAACATAGCATACATAAATATGATTTTATTTTATTTTTTTATAAAAAAAAAACGCAAGTCTATAACCTTACTTAGCAATAAATTCTATTTTAATTTAAAAATTAGAATACTAATAAAATTATGCTAATGAGAAAATAAGCATGACATAAAGAAATAAATAATACAAAAATAGAATCACATGAAGTAAGATTGAGAACGAGAAGAAAATATGAAATATAATAATATAAAATAAAATAAAAAACTTTTAGAATAATAATAATAAAAAAAAGAACTTACAATAATAGAAGTAAAAAACGTTTTTTAAAAAATAGAAATAAAAAAATAAATAAAAAGTAATCAGCTGGTAATTACACCAGCCCTGCCAATTACACCAATTACCTGCTGACCAAGTAGAGATCGACCAAGTAATTACTTGTCCAACCAAATAGGACAAACAGTGTAATTACACCCAATTACACCAAATCTAATTACAGGGTGTCCTTCCAAACATGTCCTTATATTTGGACCCTATTAATTAATAGAGGTAAAATGATAAACTAACTATATTCATTATTGTTTTCTTAATAATTGTGTTAAGTCAAAATTTGACAAGTAAAAAAGACAGAGGGAGTAATTTATATAATTAATGCACTAAAATTGAGTTTGAGGCATTAAATGTGGATGATCTGTCTCTTTGAACAACGAACTCCCTTGAAATTTTCTTTATGAGAGTTACATTTCAAAGATAGTTTCTTTGCTAAAGCCTAAAGGTGAAAGTTATTTGATTACTACACAGTAGACAGTAGACAGCAGGTGACCCCTTTAACCAAAAGTAGTTTACCTTTGTTGAAATTAATAGGAATCTGTTTGGGATAATCACACAGTGAAAGATGATTTATATAGAAAGAAATCTTCCGAAATTTTAATTGCCCCATATATAAAAGTCATTGTACAAATATATAATTACATCTCGCGATTGCTACTTTTAAACATAAATCAAGTTCAAGATTCGAAATTAAAATCGTTATTTCATTCAATGCAATTGAAAATAATAATTCAAAGTTGGAGACTTGGAATAGGAATCCTAAGTAGATTAGGATTTGTTATTTTGAATATTTACTTATTTATGTTTAATTATAATTTGTTAGTTAGAGTGTATCCTAATCCTAATTTAATTTGATTTTTACTTTTATAAATAGAGATGTTACTGTTATTTTCAATACACAGAAATATATAAGAAATACTAGAGTTTATAAATAAGACATTTTCCTTTCAAATGCAGTTAGCTATGTTCCCAGCCCAACATAGGGCAAAATGTTTTATCTTAAAATTAGCTTGTTGAAAACTACTAACAAGTAATAGTAATTCTTACCAACAACTAATAATATGGGAGACAAGTGAAGAAGAGAGGGACCAGCAAATAGCAATCCCTATCAAAAAAAGAAGAGATATGCATGCCCATGTGATAAAACAGCTTTTTTTGCTGAAACAGAAAGGGGAGTGATCAAAAAGGAAAAAAGATAGTTCTACAAGTAATAATGCAGCATGTGATTGCCCAAAATTTAGCTTAGTGCTTATACTACTTTTTCCAATTTCAAGTCCACTGTTGCCTTTCACAACTCCTTTTTCCATATGTTCAGTTAGAAAGCAACATCATAGCATGGACACAGACAAACAGTGGAAAACACAACATAAGGCATGTCCACCACCTAAAGGTAGTTTCATAAGTGGAATCAATAAGGTTTACGCATAATTTCATATATAAGTGCAATTTGGAGAGGATAGACCTAGTTTAGGCAAATCATCCGCAGCTTGAAATGTTACACAAAAACTCCTATATCTTTCAATCAATGAAAAACAAAACAAATCATTTAAAATTACCTAAATATCCATCCTCATCAACAAGCAAGCACGTTCTGTTTTAAATTCCTTTGGGAAATCTAAATACCCGGTTAACAAGCAAACACGTTGACGGAGAGCTGTTTTAACTCACTCTTATGTAATAAGAGAAAATATATATAGCAGCAACCCTTTCACATGTAATGCAACGACAAAAATCTGACATTACTATTAATTAATTAATTGGGTTGAAACTGCAATACAATCATCTGTAGGGATAGCTAAGAATGCAATATATGTAGTGCATATCACCACAATGTTCAACATCATATTTATACATGGAAATGGAATGAATCATTTCCAATCATTATTGATTTGCTTTCAATTGTACATCTCCTTCAAGGCATCCTATGATAATTACACTTCTTCCCAACAAATACTACTACTTACTTTCCATCTTTTTAATACTACTAATTTACCTCTTTCTTCTAATAAAATCTCCAAATATTATTAGGTATATACACTACTAGTGTAATGTGGCACAAGCACTACTGGCTAGCTAGCGTAATATATACGAGGATTATAAACTCACCTAATCTAATCTCTAAAATATTTCAAAAATAAATATAAAAATCAGAAGAATTTGAATATCCAATCTAAATTATAATACACTCGTACTTGCATAAAATTGGAGAGTGTATGAAGGTGCCAAAATCTTCTTACTCATAAATGCCATAATAACATTCGTTTTGTGACATCGATGCAAACTCATATTTAAGTAAAATTATTCAACCAAAAATATGGATGTATTGTGAACTAGTAATATTAATTCACTCCAACTAATATTTTCGTTATAGAGTATATCAATAAAGTTGGGCATCCTTGGGATATCTTGTTTGTTCTTTCTTTTCCTATGGGCCTAAATCAAAAGCCCACACCATTTGCAACTCTCCTTAAATTCTGCATTTTTTCAGTAGAGTTATACATGTGATACAAAACATACTTCAATAAACTCAGCCTCATTTGCTTGTGTGTGTTGGGGTGGGGGCAGTACAACATTAAAAACATTGTTTCTACTTCTTTACACAATCAAACGGTTACTCTCTCTATTTTACCATAATTGTAAACTTGTCTAACAATAATTGTTCACTGGCACATGAATTAAGAAGTAGTAAATTATAGGAATAATTTTTACCAAATCACTCTTAGTAAATTTAAGTTTAACAGGATGGACGGAGGGAGTATTAAGTAATTGCAAGTAAATCTTGATCTTTCTCTTATTTTTCTTTTTTCTTTTTTGGGAGCAGATAAATAATACTATAGAATAACTAGCATTAATCTAATATGGTCTGTTGGAGATTTTTTACTTATAACTAAAAATGTATGCAAGAGTAATCACTGGACTTGGAATAGCAATACAGTATTAGTATGCAGTAAGCGCACGAAGTCAAAACGTCAGACCACCAAACTGTTTCATAAGCTCTGAACTGATTACAGGAGCATATGCACTAGGCCTTTGAAAATACATGCACATCAGCTACAGCAGACTTCATTTTCCTTATAAGAAGACAAGTTTTCTGTAATATGCTTGGGGACAACCAAGAATTGTATAAAATATGCTTACAGATACACATGATCACTTAAGAGGAAGACAACCAGTAACAATGCTAAAGGCTTCCCGCACTGCAGTGCTCCAGGCTCTAAGAACAATATCAACCACCGACGAGCAAAGCCATTGAAGAACTTCAGAACACTTAAACCCACTGCAAGAAGCATGGAGTGAAGGTGTGTAGTTGCAGGTTATGTAGGAAGATACTGGTTGTGCGAGAACAACTGTGCCAAGCGTTGGTATTGACACCTGTGAATCTGATTTCAGGCATGAGAGAACACTCAAAGATCAAATATGATCATACAGAATACACTGATGATGAAATCCACAGTACTCTCCTCACCCTTCTCTTTAAGGCTTTGAAGATGAGCTACGGGTGGCTCTGATGATGAAAACTTCACTATCAACAGCAGATAATTCAGTTCTACAATAACGATATAGAATACACTGGAACTGGAAGCAAATGCATACCACCTCAACATTTTTTTCCCTTGTTCTTAATTGCTAACGCATCAATGGCAGGTGCGTTTCCCTTTCACCTCAACATTGATGCCAAATTTCTTCCTTCACTTCACCAAGAAGTTGGTGTTTACTTTCTGGATCTGCAGATCTAGTTGGTGATTGATGGTCTAGTCCAAATACAAACACAATTGGTGAAATCATATAAGCACACTCCGGCTATATTTCAGCCATAAATGTAGCTATTCACCATTCACTGAACTTCCTCCTCTCAATCGCCTAGTGAAAAGTTGTATCCAAAACACATACAATTCCACCGCTCTCTCTATCTCAACATTCAGCGTCACTATAGTGCGAGTTGTGTAAGGAGTCGAACCCTCTGCAAGCCCCACCCTGTCCACACTTCCTTCACTTCACAATACCATTACTGACAAAAGCCTGCCTGGTAGGAGATAGCTTTCACATCTGTCATCTTTTTCCTTCCAATTCCACAATCATCAGATTCCAGTGGCACCACAACCAGCAATTATAAAATACTCAAGAACTCCTTTCAATTTGATACTCATAGGCAAAAGAAGCATTGCCTACTGCATGTTCTAGCCACAAAAGAAGAAATGGCAGCTTGTCTGCTTAGGAACAGGATTTTCCAGTGGAACAGTAATCCTCTCTTGCCTCTCTTGGTGATCCAAAAATTCCCTATAGCAATCCCTACAGCAATCTAAACACAGATTGTCGAAACTGAATAATTCCTCATATTCACAATTATTTAAGCACCGCCCACAGTTGATACAACGTTTAATGCAGATAGTACAAGCTCTGCACGACTGAGCAGTAGATTTCTTCTTTTGGCAACTTTCTGAGGGGCAATCATAGACTACTCTAAGCTGCTGGCATTTCGGGCATATTTCAATATCAATAGCGTAATCATCATCAGAAGACACAGATAACTGGCCACCTTGGAGAAACCGTGGTTTACGAGTAGATGGCAGCTTGCTGCTATCAACACCTAACAAGACCTTGAACTCTTCAAAGTGTTGGTGTGTCATACCAAATAATCCATTAACCCCAAGGTACTTAAGTCTGGGTTTTCCTGCAGACATTAAGACCTTTAAGTTCCGGAGAATACCATCAGCTGTGAGTCTCACACATCCTGGGACACTAAGCTGCATTGATAAAAGTAAATACATGACATCAGAAAATATAAGAACAAAAAAATGAAACACTATTTTTTTTAAAACTAGGAAATGAAAAAATTACTAAACATTCAGAGACTTTGATGAACTTCCTGAAAAGGCAAAGCCAAGGGCCATAGCCGAGCATATTTTGATTGGTAAACTAGAGAAATGATAGTTATACATGATGTCTCTATATCAAATAAAATTTATGAATATAACCCAACCTCCAAGAATAGGTCTATTGGTGTAATCTAAAAGCCAAAGAATTGCCTCAATTCAGTAATATAAGGCTAAACTAGGTCTTTTCACTGCACCAATTCTCTTGTTTTCCGAGACAGAATCTCCAGAGCTTTAAATTCTGCTAAAAATACCTCTATAACTTTTTTCACTTGATAATTTCAGCAATACATGTTTTATTTTTCAGCAATACATATTTAAATAAAGAATTATAATATCTTCTCAAAAAATATGAACAACTACATAAGTGCATTATAGAGGCAGTATTAAGATGTGATAGATGCCATAATGTAGAATAGTATGAACACTCAAAAGGGAAGAAAAACAAAGGAATTCAACAGTGAAGGATCCTGATATCCACCTTTTCAGATAGGGTTAGATACAATAACAAGTGAAATAATGTTACATTTAGCCAAGTCCAATCAATAACATTTTTTGAACAAAACTGACACATTGAAAAGTTGCTATGTGAGGCAAATAAGGTGAGAGTACAAAAAGTATGTGAGGCAAATAAGGTGAGAGTACAACAAATAATAGCGCAATAATAAGAATGACAAACATGTATGCTATGCAAACCTTACATTCATTATCAGACAAAACGAATCACGGTAAGTCTAACATATGATTACATCTTATAAGAAACTAGAATGATCTAAAGTAACAAACATAGTTAGGTAAGCAGCAAAAGAGAATAGCTGACCTTTTTCAGGCTAGAATTCCTTTCAAGCACACAATTCAAACTACTATCAGTGATCCTTGGGCAGTGCACAAGACTCAGAGAATGAAGATGGCCTTGAGCCCTGTCCGTCAACTTTATAAGAACATCATCTGTGATCTTATTACTCAATGGATAATCAACGTGAATATTTCTCCACAGAAGTGGATCACTACGCACCACATCTCTTAAAGCTTTGCAAACCCCTTCAACAGAAAGAAGGTCCCTCAATCCAAGATAATTAAGGGACAAATACAGCGCATCTGAAGGAGCACCTCCATCTGCATCACAATGATCATTCATGTCCGACTGATCTTCCTGAGCTGCATCTCTAAAAACCCAATAACAGGAATTCATAACATCCTCAATCTCAACATCCATCGGCAATCCCTCTCCTATATCAATCTCAGACACATAGGAGTTTTCCCCTACATCCTGGTGAACTCTGATTGCCCCTTTTACAACAATATTAAATTCCGCATACAATTGAACATCAACCTCAATCTCATCTGTACAGAAACCAAGATCTTTTAACCCAAAATCTTTGTTAATACCCTCTAACCAACCAGTGATTTTGGTACTAATATCCATATCAAAAGGATCCTGCGGCAACAGATCAACAATATCATCAGAACCCATATTTGTGTTTTCATCTTTGTGGTCTTGAAAGTTGCCCTTTTCACAATTCAACTCCCAAAAATCACTAATACCATCAGAAATCATCTCAGTTTTTCCAGATTTGTGATCATGAAATTTGTCAATTTCACGATTCAAACCCCAAAAATCACCAAATCGGTCAAGCTTCTCATTTGGGTATTCTTTATCGAAATAACTATTATCTAACTTGGTCCCAGCTAAAAATCGTTCTTCTCGATTCAAGGACATATCGTCTACTCTAAAAATCAACCCAATACCCAAGGAAAAAGAAAGAAAAAAAATAGGCCGTGCCCTAGGCGCAGAACGTATTGAACAAGAAAACCCTCAATTCTCGAATGCAGACTAAAACAAAAGCACCCAAAGATTTCACAGAGCTTCCTGTGAAGCGCCCAAATGGGTCAAGCAAAATTCCCCAAATTGTTGCAATGGATCAATCAAAATTCACCAAAATCGAACCCCACATTCCGGTATTAAACAGTAATCAATAGAAAGAACAAATCCCAGCTACTACGGAAACATATTTACGGTGTATTACACAAATCTAATGTGTGGGTGCGTGAGAGAGAGAGACAGAGACAGAGATAGAGAGAGAGATTCAAGTCATATAGTATGAGATAAGAATAAGAATAAGAATAAGAATAAGAGAAGAGAGCGGTGATGATAAAAGGAATCTAACAATTCCAAGAAAGAAAGAAAATGGAAATTACCATAGTGGCGCAGATATGTACAATAAAACCTACACAATACAATGTGATGATGTATAGGTATTCCTGTATCTACATACTCTCGAGAATCGCTAATTTTGGTGAAAGAGAGAGAATTTGTATATGTGTCTCTCTGAACTATAGGTGTCGATTGGTAGAGATTGATGTGGCGCGAGAGACTTGTTCTTTTGTGTTACTTCAATTACCTCCGTATAAATTAGGTTACCAATTGGGCCTCTTTGGGCCTGCATTTTACTTTCTAATGCGATTGATTGTATATTAAAAAAATTGATTTGTTTTGTAAAAAGAAAAAATAATTAAATTTTAAATAAGCTCAGATTTGAAACATAAATTTTAATTTAAAAAAAATAAAATTTTATGACCAAACATAATAGTTATTTTGGTTGTTGGGATGGTTCTAGGGTGGGGCTAATAGTTATACAAGTAAGTATTTGAAATTCAACTTAAAAGTATTTTAAAATTAATTAGTATGAAATCACATGATTTATATTTCATCATTAGAAAAGGGTGGTAAAATAAGGATAATTTTCTTAGCGAAGAAGTTCTTTACACACTAAGGAAGGATCCAATCATGTCTCATTCACTTTCTTCTCTAAATAGTAATATTTTTATTTAGTCATTTTCTCATCCATTTCCAATTATTTGTAAAGATGTATATTATTAGTACCTTAAAATTGACATCTATTGCCTAAATATATCATATATGTTGTAGGGGACCAATAAAATTTAAAAAAAAATTCTCAAAGACATTGGCATTAACAATTTAGTTGGTAATCGTATACTAATTGTCTCTTACACTCGTCATTATCACATCTCCATGTAATTCACTTACCAAATTAATACAAGACTTTGTGTTTATGCTTGCAGAGCAATTTTTTTGACAATTGACATGCCACAAAATAATAAAATACAAGAGAACTAGACCAAACACGTTCAAGTTATTGACTCATTATACTAGATAATATTGATGAGTCACTTATTCAAGTGCCTCTTAATAACGGATCAAGAAATAGCATGCATGATTAGAGGAATACTTTTATTTTCTTATTAGGTTTCGATGCCTAGGGAATCTATGATAAGAAGAATATCAAAGTTATGATAAAAGTTTTTTTTTTAATGGAATATTCATTGTCTACACTTGTGACATGTGGGGTAAAAACTTGGCTTCCAAGGTGTTCTTTCCTTGACAATTCTACCACTCACAACACTTGCTTTCTTAACGGAGTAGTTCACAAAACTACTTTTGGAGAAAAAGGGGATGGAATAACAGTCAAACATGAAAAGAAAGCAAACTAATAAATGGTCTAAAAAACAAGTATGGATTCCTCACGCCTCTTTCACCGTTTACCCTAATTGTCACTGTCTGTAAAGAGTTGAAAAGGTGACAGAATGCTGCTTATTATGAAAAATGTTTACACACTATATCCACTCATTAACTACAATTACTGAATCATTTATATCCATTATTATGTCTATTCCTTATGATTCAGAAGAATTACTGTTATCAACCTTATCACAACGACTATGTCTCTATACCAAACTAGTTGGAATCAGCTAGCTATATGAATCCTCATTTTACATTTTTAGTTAAAGGGGGTCTTTATTCACTATTAGGTAAAAAACAAGGAATATTCAGATACTCTCATTTATTAGCTTAAAAAAGATGAGATTATTACATGCAAATATATTTGTGATACACGGACTATTTGTTACTTCTCAATAAGTTTGCACATAGGCAGGGTACTACATGGCAAAAGTGACAAGGTAACACTCATCTGCAATACTTTTCCAAACTTATAGTGTGGGAGGGATCCATATATAGCCATGAGTTTGAACGTAACCGGCATTTTGCAACAACTCATCTGCTTCAGCAGGGCCTCTGCTGCCTGGCTTGTATGGAATTGGCTTCACCTCTCCATTGTCAATTCTATGCAAAAGAGGGGTAAAAATCTCCCAAGCCGCCTATATTTAACAGAATAAGAGTTACCATCAATTGTGTTTATGCAACGGGTACAATGTATATACCTAAAACAAAATGCACTACGTACCTTGAGCTCATCCCTACGCACAAAATGCTGCTGATCCCCTCTTATTCTGTGAAATGAGAAAACATTGTTAGCACACTATGTTATCTGCCAGTATGTGTAATGCAAGAACCAAACAAGTTAAAACTAAGGACATGCACAAAGGTTGAGAAGCATACGTGTCAAGAATCAGACGTTCATAAGCCTCTGGAATGACGACCCCTTGGTAACGCTGCCCATACGACAGGTCTAATTCACTTTGAACAGTTGACATTTCAAGCCCAGGTTTCTTGACCTGCATGAGAGAAATAAAAGATGTGTCACCAAGGAGCACGAGCAAAAGAGCTGTTCCTTTTCTTCTCTTCTCTTTCCTTGAAATGAATGAACAATGAATAAATAGGTGAACCTCCATATTCTCTTAAACTCAGATAATGAACAAAATAGTGGCTCCTTCTCTCTGTCTTAATATCTCTTACACTGTAATTTGAACACTTCCTGGCATGGCCAGCTCAGAAACTATTTGATGAACAACCAAACTGATAGCTTGAACAGAACAAGTAGCACAGAATTATTCTTACCGTAAGCTTCATGTACATGGCTTCTGAAGGTTGGAGGCGTATCACAAACTCATTTCTCCCCTGCTTTTGACCTGTTTAATATGTCACAAAAGGTATTTTTCCATCATTGAACTTGACTGAAAATCTGATACACAGCAATGAAGTCACAAAGGGAACAAGTAGATGACCAAGTAGAATGCATAGAGAGTTTATGGAAAACCAAAAATGAAATCATGGTATTAAATGGCCTAGCAATGCTGAACTTCAATTGGGAGAATTAAAAGCAGCAACTATGATTTAACCTATGAACATCAAAGCTCTATCCCAAGCTTGCGATACTATTGTCTTTGCAGCCTCCTTGACGACTAACCTAAAGCTCCAGCCCTTTGTAGAAACACTTTTTAAGATGAGCTTTCTTTATAGAAATACTGGAAGGAGCTAACTATTCAAGTAGAAAAGCTCTCTGACATGCATGCATATATATCATCAACAGAAGAGAGTTCATCTTTTAAGTTTCAACTACTTCTCACAATCAAATCACATGCTTCACAAATGAAAACAAAGAGCAGGTGATTTCTATATGAAAAAAGAACAGTAACCCAAGGTTGCATCACTTCTTGAGATACCATCCACGTATCAACCAGAAGTAGCTCTGTTTCTGGCTCAAGTAAATTGATACATTAGTGGTGATGCAGTTTGCCACTATAAGTGATGAAATTTGATAGTCTATGTAACATGAGCTAAACAATCAAACATCTACAAAAATGTTAGGAAGTAAGACAAAAAATGGTATCCTTAGAAAGATCCTGACACATACATCTAAATATATCACCAGGAACATCCTTAAACTGCACTCGTATTTCTGCCTTTCTTGAATTTAGTGCTTTTCCAGCCTTCATTATAAAGGGGACACCTGCAGCAGGTAAGCCACATATACATAAGATACGCAAGATACAGACAAAAAGGAGTAGCCAAAGTACATCTCTGAAACAACAAATAAAAAAGCAGTCTACAGCTGAGATCAAACATTAAAATACAAGTTTTAAACTTGTGAAATTCTTATCTAACCTTCCCATCTTTCATTGTGTATGCGTAAAACCATAGTAGCAAAAGTAGGAGTATTTGAGTTGTTAGGAACCGTTGGATCATCCTTATAGCCTTCATATTGTCCAAGAACAACCTCTTCATCTTCAATTGGAAGCATTGATTGAAGAACCTGCGTGGATAAGAAAACAAATAAGTGAAACACACACAATTCTGTGAAAATGGAGTGTTGGTTTTCAAGTCATTATCATTATCTTATTATCCTACAAAGAAGCAAGCAACCACATTGAGTTTGTCGCAGTGTTAACCTGATACATACCTTAACTTTCTCATCCCGAATGTGTTCGGGCTTCTGAGAAACAGGCTTCTCCATGGCAACAAGGCAAAGGACCTGCAGTTGAGAAGGTCACTAACGGTAAGAATTAACATACCCAAGCATAGTGCAGAGTTCAACTGTTCAATGATTAAAGAAATAGAAAATCAAAATAGCAGGAAAAAATGGGTGAGGAATGTATTCCACCCCCACCCCGACCCCCGATGTTTTTAATTACTACAAGGACGAGCCTACACAAGGACATAGCTGCACCTATCAAAAGTTTAATATGTCGATGGATTTTTCAGATCGTAATGAATGGGCAGGCATTGGTTTTACCACAATCCTGAGACATAATCATGAACTGGCTTCTTGTAATGTACTTCCAGGAGAGAACCTGTGAAGTATAGTAAATCCCATATTTTGAGTTTCTAACTAGCAAAGGTATTGATATGATGATTCAAAAACAACTACTACACCCCAATCCCAAACAAGTTTGGGCTCGGCTATATGAACCCTCACCGATCATGTTACTCCATCTAAACTCATCTCAGACCAATATTATAGGAGTACAAAATAAAAATATAAATAAGAAGTAGATAGCACTTGTTAGCCTTAAAGTCAGAATAATTATGGGTCACCTGCAATAGATGGTTCTGAATAATGTCACGTATAATCCTGCAAAATGGATGAAAGGATAAGGTTAATTATTACAAAAAAAAAAATCCAAAATGCAGCTTAGTGAAGTACAGAGAAGAAAATTTATAGGCTTCTTTAGGAACATCTGTTAAGACTTCATCT